ATGGGAATTAAAGCCTGTCTTTATTTTACTAACAAGATGAAGATGAGTGAGAGGACAAAGATGGAATTTTATGGTGGTGTTAAGTGAATCAGTGATAAACTATAAATCTGTTTTGGCATTGACAATTTAGGATCCATGACCATAATGCAGAGTTGTTATTTATTTCATACAGTAGACTTCTTTTCTGTTTATTATAGCATGTGTTTTTTACATGGCAGAATGGAAGAATTCCGTAGCTTTATGTTTCTGATCCATAAACTGTGAAATTTCAAAGGTTATGTTTCATGATATGAGTTTCAGAATGTAGACTTGACATTTCAGTAACAAAAAGAAATCTGGGACAGTGTTGCTTAATGCAACCAACTGGTACATATCTTTGTTGTTAATAAGTTAATTTTTAACATTCTCAGCGTGTCATGCGTTTAAGCTCAAATGAAAGTGATTTTCTACATTAATGGTTTGTTTGTGTGCTACATTTTTTCATTATGAGTTGAAAAGATGTGGGAAAGAAAAATGGAAAAAAAAAAATCCTAAGCAGCATTAAATGAGAACGTAATGCTTGACATTTTACTTCTGGGACTCTGAGGGATATATTTTTCCCTCTCCCCAGTTATCTTTTAGTCTAAGTTTCCTTTCACTCCTGCATCAAGGAATGCTTATTTTTGTTTGTTTTTATTTAATAGAGTCTACTACCTTGTCATTTAGTTGAAGAAGTCTTTCCTATGTCAAAAGCAACTACTTATATGAAAAGATTGTTTTTAAGAATATATAATGGCATTCATGAATCCTTCAACATGCTGCTATGCTCCAACAAGGTCATAAACTCCCTAAAAAAGAGGAGACCTGTTCTTGTGACCTACATATGAAAAACAGATTGAAATTAGAAGATCAGTGTTAGTTGCATTATGTTTTTCTTTTGGCACATATCTTTTGAGTTTGGATTTTTACCACTTTTTTTTTTATGTTATTTTGAGCTCTTTGGATGAAAATAGATTGACAGGTTACTTAAAGTTTTTGGCAATAAAAATAATATTATTAAACAAATTAATTATACCAAGCCCTGTATAATGACCGTGGCAGTGTTATTCAACAGATGGTCACAGGTTCTGTTTTATGAATGGGAATATTGGGAATTCTCCATACTCGTTATGTGCAAGAGATTCACAGATGTCCTTTGCAAATCTGCTTGTGAAAGGCTGTATGTAAGTACTATATTTTGGTGGTGATTTTAATAGAGATTTTAATGTTTAACTTGTATGCCACATGAACCTTCATTTTCTTTCTCTCCTTTTTTATTCATGTGCTGTAGAGAGAGGATGACAGTAATGTTTTACAGATTGCTGTAACGGTTCTCAGTTCTAGGAATTTACAACTTGCAGCTTTTTTTAACTGAAGCATTTAGCACAAAATGACTGAATACGTTTGAAGTGTAAACATAGACCTTCATCTCATTAAGGAAAAATATGTATTATATAAGCTATCATACATGCTATATATGCTACTATCTTACTTTCTGTAGTAAAAATGACACCTTATCATTTGGTAGAGCCATTGGCTCTTTCTTGCAGATCCAGAGAGATTGTATATCTCTAAATATGGATGAGATGCAATGGGCTGTGTCAGTAGAAGATGCCAATATCATTTGTGTTAGTTACTGTTTCTGTTTCTACAATGAGTTCTGGAACCATTTTTCTTTGGAATAAGTTATAAAATTTCTCATTCTCTTCAGTGGTAGTTACAAATTTTACTTCTCTACTTTGTGTTTATTCCCTTCACCAGAAGAGCTAAAACTGAAGATTTATCTGATTAAGGTGACAAGGAAAGCACTAAATTAGCTTGGTACACTGAAGGCTCAATATAGCAAAGCATTTGGTGTATATTTCACTCTGAGTAATCCCGTTGACTTCCAAGCTAAGTAGAATTAATCTTGGGATACAAGATTCTTGTCTTTTCCTACAGTAGTCTTGTATCCTAAAATTAATATCCCTCAGGCGAAGTGTAGAGCTGTTATATATTTGTCCTCAGCAGAGACTGCACGCAGTGTCCTTGGTTTATACTTAACTCCTTCTGGTGTTTGGTTTTACTAGTAACTAGGCTTCAGTCTGCAGTTTCTCCCTAGGCTTAGTTTGCTCCTAGTGTTGTCATGCAAACACTTGCCTATCCGCAATTTTAGACCCTGCACCTTTAAATTCAAAGTAGAAATATTAAAAAAAAAAAAAAAAAAAAAAAGTTGTGATTAGCTGAGAATAATTTCTTCCACGAAACAGGATGACTGAGCAAAATCTCAGCCATATTTTAACCATGTATGTCAAATGTGAAATTATTTACCTGATACTTTACTACACTCTCCTCCTACTTCATAGCTTTCCTTAGACAAATGGAAAGAGAAGGGCAGGGATGACTGTTAGTGTATTCTCTGGGCACAGCATGATTCACTGGCATTTTGTGTTAAAGTTAGACTTAGATTTTGGTGTTTGCTTAGTTTTGGGGTGGTTTTTTTTTTGGTTTTTTTTTTTTCCATTTTACAACATGACTATTGGCTGTCCACCCATATGCATCTTTATTGTCAGCTTGAGTCACCCTATACAGCCCCATCTGGTGATCCATCCCTTGTGTTGTGAGACTGGAGGAGGGACTGCCAGTGAAAGAAAAAATGTTAGAGGGAGAAGGAAATGCTGAAAAACAAATATGTATCAAGAGAAGTGCTTCTTTAAGGTTTTGTTTTGTTCTCACTTGTTGAGGCAGTTAGCCTCTAGCTCATGAGTGTGCTGTGCAGTACTACTGGTAGCGGTGTCCACCAGATCCTACTCTGTTTCTTGCCTTTGTGGCACTGCGGGTTTGGCTGGGACATGCTGGGATGGGTGCTCCTGTTCCATACAACCATGTGAGCATAGCATGCCCCGTGCTGGCCAAAACAAGGTAAGTGAGTAGTCTGCTTGGCAAAGACTGGGTAGTGCTGCCCTTGCTCTGGCAGCTAGCGTGTTGCCTGCAGCATACAAACACTGATCACCTGACATGGGTGCTTCACCATGTCCTGTCCCCTCTCCTTTCTGTGGCCTTGAGTCTAAAGCATGGATAATTGAGAGGCTTTAAAAGAATCTACCTTTGTCATGGCAGTGATATAAAACACTAAAACAATACTTTTATAAGGTGCTGGAAACAAGGTCATGAGCCCTGGTAAAGGTGGAAATTGCCATGAAACTGCAGGAGAATGTGGGACTTTTTTGTGTTCATATTCATTTGTCTAGGGAGGATACTACTGAGGTTGGATGTTTTCTCTTTGTTCATTGTGTAAATAAGGCTCTGGGGCACAATAGTTCAATGACTGGGTTGTGGTTATGTCATATTGTTATGACAGCAGTTGGCTGTCTTTTCACTTAATTTTTAGTGGACTATTTGTTAAGTGGCATCACTCTTGAATGAAGGTCACCTGTTTTGATACCTGGGTTGGCAGGACTGTACACTGAGGAATAAGTTTTGGAATTCTGGGGTACTTTTTGAGACATTCTTACATTTTGTAATTTTCTATCCATGGGTATGACTATCTTTGCCCATTACAAGTATGAATTTTGTGTCTTTCTGTGGGCTGTTCTTCATTGCTTTCTGTTTGTGTCTTTGGTTCAGTGCAGATCCGACCAGGTTCTTCTATTTGTTTGATTTCGGGTGTTGTAATTCACTTTTTATTGGACAGTGCTCATGTGTCTTTAAAGAACTGTACTATAAAAGGGGTTAATCGATGAAATAGCTTTTATGTGGCTTGGTGTATTTTATGTTGCATCGTGTGTTATTTAGAAGAGTGGAATGATATTGATTTCTTTTTTTCAGGAATCTTTTTTTTTTCTCTATTTGATTTAGCTATGTGAACTTTCTGAATATTGCAGATTAATTGAAGTTACAGATTTAATCTTTGTAAGTCTTTAATCATTCATGCTTATAAAACTATAGAACTAATTCATATCAAATACATATCTTATTGATATAGTATTACTTTAATAAATCTCTCCCAAGATCATAACACAAATTACATTTATATAAAGAGAGTGCACAGTAAGATGGTGCAGGAAAATAGACAGGAGAATAGAAGGGATCCATAGTAAGCTCAGCCCATCCTGATTAAATCCAGAATTTTAATGCTTGAAATGTATTAATGTGCAAGCATTCATATTTGTACATTTTAAGATCTTTTGAATCAAGTATCATTTTCCACATAAAACAGTCTGTCAGGTATTTGCTATTACAAACCTTTAAATATTTGGTATTGCATTATCAACCCTGTGCTCGATCCATTTATGAAACACAAAGCACTTCCATTTGTAGAGATTTATTCTTGTATCATTTTTCCCGAGATTTGCCAGAACATCATCGTGTTCGTGTTCTGAAGGTTAATGCCCAAAGTCAAGCAGGCAGAAGCCAAGTGCTGCAAGGTTTCCAAGATTAGGACTGATTCCCTTCACAAAAATAAATGATTCCTGCCATGTTCAGTGATTTTGTGCAGCACTACTCACGGCTGAGTGAGTGCATCAATACTGTAGTCCTTACATGCTGTACATACTGATGACACTCTGTGTTAACTTGATTGACTGAGCAGTATACTGGAGAGGATGCACCTGCGAGAGATGTGCAGACACATATATTTTTATTCTTGTTTTGAAACATTTATTTTATGTTTTTTTTTTTACCTGGAATTCTTAGTTTCACATTCCATGGGTTATCATGTTGTGCTGTTAAGGTAGAGCAAACAATTATGTGCTTCTTTGTTGTCAAAGTTGTGAGGGAAAATGATCTGAGGTGCATCTTTCTCTCTATAACCAAAAAGCCTGATTTTGTATTTTAAAGGAAAATGACATAAAGGGGACAAATGCGAAATCTGGCAATTCAGTAACTACGTAAATTATGCTTATTTTAAGAGATTCAATGAAATGGTAGAGAAATGTCTCGTGTAATTCGCTTATGAGCAGTATTTTTTGTTACATTTTTATGTTTTGTTATCATTTTTATAGGCTTTAAGACAACAGCAGAAAAGAAGAAATGGAGTCTCAATGATGGTAAACAAGACTGTTCCTCGTGTTGTTTTGACACCATTAAAGGTGTCTGATGAGCAGTCGGATTCACCTTCAGGTAAATAGCTAAAGGACTGTTTGCAAGATCAGTGCTAGTCACAGAGCCTTCCTCTGAGTCAGATGTGTAGCATACAGAATGGGAGACTGCTGAAAATAATATTGTCACTTGGAAGCTTTGTGTAACGTCTTTATTTCTTTATCAAATCTGTGACTCAAGGACGGAGATTTTACTTCAATTTTAATAAAGAGCTGAAGGCACACAGTAAAATGGCAATTAATAATAGCAGCAGCCTTAAAGGAATGCAAAGTAACATTTTGTTTGGCTCTGGAACTCTAATGGAGGACCACATGCTGGTATTCAAGGCCATGAAAAGGAGAGGGGAGAAGAAAGGCAAGCTTCTCTGTGAATGTGAATTTGTGTCAATTCTGCATTGCAATCCTGGGATCCTTTTGTTAGCTTTTCTTGTTCTGGTGCTGTTCTTAGCACCACAGCGTTACTATGACCTTTAGCTCCGATTAAGTTTCTTCATTTTAAGAGATTTTTATGTCTGTGTTTAACAGAAATTGACAATTGTATTTCCAGGCATCTCCATTCTGTAAGTGCTACTTCAGAGAAAAATGATCTTTTTTCACCTTTAGATTGCATTACTGCCCCATAGCTTGAGGTTAAAATATTTTTAAAGATATCCCTTGTGTGTTATAGGAAAACGTTATTTTTATTAGATCAGTGAACATTTTTATTGACTATAATGTTCAATAAACTTTAGTTTTCAGCGCTTAATTGACTTATTGATCTTTTTCTTCCATTTCCTCTGATGATGAGAAATTGTATTGTGACCAGAAAGGTGCACTGCCTCTCAGCAAGTAGATGTCAGTTTTCTTTAATCCCATTTTTGCTGTGTTTACAGTGTAGCAAGGGGACAGGGAGGAGGGAGAGCTTGTGATACAAGTGCATCGGTATCATGCTTTGTTCTGTTTTTCTCCTAAGGATCTGAATCTAAAAATGGTGAAGCAGATGGTTCTGATAAAGAGATGAAACATGGACAAAAGTCTCCAACTGGAAAACAAACAAGCCAGCACTTAAAGAGGTTAAAAAAATCTGGTTTAGGTGAGTGAGAGTAAAATAAGTATATTTATTTGTTATTGTACTATTGAGATGTTTAGAATGTCTATGCTGTATTTAAAAGTTCTGCGTTGCTGATTTACCAGTCTCTTTCTCAAAGTCCGAAGTTGACCTTTTCGCAAGAAAGTATCTTTTTTTTCTGGCTGTTTTGAAAATCCACAGGCAATTGTTTTTCCCCAAGAATGCTTTTCTGTACTTGCTTTTTAAATTTGACAGACCCAAGCAAGTGCAGACAGAGGTCATTTAGCAGCTTGCTTCTGATTGCTGCGTTATGATTTTTGGGCGGGTGGTAAGGGGTGGAGTAGCAGATATTCTTTCTTACTGTTAAGTCTGCTTGCAGTCTTAATGCATGCTTAATCCGAAAGAGAAGAGTGTATTTTCTTACATATCTGTCCTATTCTAAGTTAACTCTCTCCTTCATTTGCATTATTCTGTGTCATGTAGAGGTTTGGCACATCATTTTTGATTGATTCTGTTTCTTTGGTTGATTTGTTTCTTCTGCTGGATCCTAAATTATTTTTGAAGCTACATGTCTTGAGGTTGTAGATACAGTTTCTGTTTTTTGTTTTCCATGTTATTTACCAAGATTCGTGAATGCTGATCTGTAATTAATGAAGAATTTTCTCTGAAGAGATGCAAAGAGTAAAGTCCCAATAGCTCCATGTGATGGAGAAATTTTTTCTGCACTGCACAAAACATAATTGGAAATGTTCCCTAAGGAGCAGAAAAAGTACTATTCACTAAGACTCTTGTCTCGTATAAAGCAAAGTCGAATAATTACATAAATGTTTCTTTACAGAGGACCTTTTGCATTCAGCAGACTGCTGAATCATTTAGAGAAGAATTTCACAATGTGACCACATTGGAAATGTTTGCAAACAAGTTTTTCATAATGGCTGGATAATCCCCAAAATTATTTAATGCCTGTTTTCATTATAGGATTGTTTTTCTTTATGAACGGCCTCATCTATTTTCTTATATAACAATTCTGCAAAATAATGAAGATACTTGCTCAATATTATAGGTTGCTTGTTAAATACTCTGTTTCCAGTTTCTGGTGAACTCTTTTATACAAACCTCATTGTATCGCAGACTTCCAGGAAATTGTATTTTGATTTCATATATAATCTTCTGGCAGAATATTTATTGATCTCAGATGGATATGTAGTGTCTCTGTTGATCAAATGGTGTTACTCAAAACAGATAATACTGCCTTTTTGCTTTGCAAAAATATGTTCAATTTCTGATGATTTCCTGTAACTTTTCTCTAGCTGTGAGACTGAGACATGTGATTTGATGCATCCATTCCTCCCTATCCCTAGATATTTCATCAATATGGCCTCTGGTACCAAATACAGAATGAATTCATTAAATCTTTTTTTCTTGTAGCTTTCAGAATAAATTCTGCAGCCATTTGAGGTACCATCCTTGGAACGTGGGATATATTGCATAAAGATTAAAGTTTTCTGTGATTTCTGTCCTTCTATTTTGACTCCCATACTTCAATGTAGAAACATATGTTTTTCACCCTTTTCATAAGTAGTGCTTTATCTTGAAGACTAATCTCTTATTTTCTAAGGCTGTAAGCTTGTCTTTCTCTCTTATCCTCCAGGTTCTATTTCTGATCTGGCCAGAGGTACCCCCAAACTGTGGTAGCAGCTACATAAAGACTCAAAGTGTCTTTTTCTGTGGAAACACAACATGAAAAACATTGACAAATGCTCTGTTATAAACTCCTGTCTCTCAGAGTTATGAGTAGCTACGCAGTGGAGGTGTACAGTCACATTCCACAGTGTTGCTACTTTCCCTGCTGTTCTGAAATATTTCTCGAAATCTGACTACGAACTTGAAACCTACAGCAACGGTCCTAAAGCTAGGAGGGATACAGGAGAGAAAGTTTGTTGCCTTTCTGAACAGATCTTCTCTTTTTTTTTTTTCCCCCTTTTTTTTTTTTTGCCATATCTATGCTGGCCACTCACAGTGATCTGCTAGCCTGTTATCCTAGGAGTAGTGTGTGTGTTTCTTCCTCATGTTGATAAAGCAGCCATAGCAACGTGCAATGGTAGGAGGTTAAATAATTGGAAAATGTGTAACTCAGGCACACAGAATTAGGCGTGAGTTTCTGGTACTGTCTTGGTCTCTTCTCACTGTTAAAATACCTACCAATTTTGGATGTTACTGACTTTGCAATCATATCTTCTGTTTTGGTTTGGACCACCTATATGCGTATGGCATAATCCGAAGCATCAACTGGGGAAAATGTTACTTCATTTTGTAGTTACTTAGAAGATAGAGATGTGTCTGCTTTATGGATTAAAGAAAGGAATATATATACAGGCATTGCATTTGGATACATCATACTACTTGTGCTACACTTGGAGATTGTGTTCTTTTTGCATTCATATTTTGTGGGTGGAACAGATGGTGAGGACATTTTACTGTGATGCATTCATGAAAATGAGCACTTCTTCCACACAGTTGTCTTTTATAACAGGGCATTCATTTGTTCATAGTGGAGATTTTGCTGTGCAGAGATACAGTATGTTAGAAATGAGTTGGAAAAGGATATGTACTGAATGCAAAGTAACGGTTGTCTCATTCAGTTACTATTGTTTGCTAAAAAGTAAAAGGAAATTAGAAGAATGTTTGTGGGAGGCTGTGACTGAAGGGGAGCTTGCAGAATTTACAAATCTATTGCAGTTTCTTTCATTTCTGCACTTTGTGGGTGATGCTATAACCTTTCAGGATAAATGATCATAGTCTTCCAAGAAATCTAAAGCGTAACAGCACTGCTTTTATTAATGTTAGCAGTTTAACACTTTGTACCATTTGAGAATTTCCTAATATGCCCAAATATCCATATTTATAAAATATAAATATTCTTAACAAAACAGTTATAATTCTTGCCACAAGGTTTCTCTTGTATCATTTCTGAAATATTTGAAAGTACAACAGATCAAAACCTCCTGTGAAGAGTTAGAAGTTTTTGATTTGTAATGGCCTCCTATGCTCCTTACTTCTTCCATTCCTGTAATGTGTATCATAGTATGTTAAGACTGGAAGGCAAAAAGGTTCATAGCAGTATGTATATATCCTGATGCAGGCAGCAGTAGTGAGCTGCTTTTTAAGGGGCTTTGTCTATTAGTATTATCACAGAAATAAAAGCAAAGTTAGGCCAGATGGGACTTCCAGTAGTGACCCAAATTCATTAGTCACAAGGCAAAATCAGCTTGTACATCTGTCATTCCTGACAGATATTTCTCTGCATATTCTTAAAAGTTTTCCAGTGATGAAGACTGAAATGCCTTTCCTGAGATATCTTCATCAGAGGGTGGTTGGGCCCTGGAACAGGCTCTCCAGGGCAGTGGTCACAGCACAGAGCTTGCCAGAATTGAATAAGCACCTGGACAACATCCTCAGACATACGGTCTGATTTTAGGGTGAGGCTATGTGGAGCCAGGAGTAGGACCTGATAATCCTTATGGGTCCCTTCCAACTTAAGATATTATACAGTTCTATGATAATCTAATGTCCTAGGTGGCTGAAAGCTTTGTATTACCTTGACAGTAATATTTCATACTGTGCAACACTTCCTTTGCTCTAGACTGTGGGCAGTAGGAAGACATTTATGCCTGTATTCAGTTTTTAATATATTTTCCCCTTCCTCCTGTGTAGTCTTTGTCTTGTTTTTCCTCACGGACTCTGTTTTGTAGACTTCTGATAATTGTTGCTGTTGTCTTTTCTGTGTTGCTCATTTTTGATCATAGGTTCTAACAAAAATTCTGAGAAATACATGTTTTCAAACTTGAAATTAACACTGTAGATATTCTCACCTCTGTGATAACTGTCTATTCATACAGGTAGGTTTTAGCAAGTCTGTGGACTGAGTTAGGCAAACCATAGTGCACTGCAAATGCGGGGCACAGGCCCAAGAAAATCTCTCTATAATAATTGATTGGCATCAGCCTTTTGCTTGGAAATAGAATTATGTTGATGACAGGAAAATTATCTGCTTCTGCTGAGTTGAGTTGATCTCTTGATCTGAATGTAAGAATGTGTCTGTTGTGCTGTTGACTGGAACATGGATGCTGTAAGATCTCGAGAAAGAAATACAGGAAATATAAAACAAGCTGTGAGCAAAAAAAAGGCTGCTACCATCTGAGAGTACCATTTCTCTGGAGCTTTCTATATTAAACTGATGAAAACTAAAAGCATAAAAACAGGAATTGTTTTTATTCTCTTTCTTTATATGTGTTTGAAATTATTTCTTTGTTGTGTTGTTTTTTTTTTTTTCTCTCCAGGACATTTGAAATGGACCAAAGCTGAGGATATTGACATAGAAACACCAGGATCTATTCTAGTGAACACCAACCTGAGGGCTTTAATAAATAAACACACCTTCGCTTCTTTACCTCAGCACTTTCAACAATACCTCCTGCTTTTGCTTCCAGAAGTAGACAGACAGGTAAGTAGAAACATGGAATATTTCTTTCTGTACTTATTGAGACTTTTTTTTTAATAGTGTGTTTTCATTTTCTGACTTGATTGACTAGGAATTGTTCTAGAGAAGACTAAGAAGAGTATTTCCATGCTTCTATTAGGTAAAACTGTTATATGTAAAATGAATGTAAAGTCTACCTCAACACTGACCAGCTTCTGCAGATCTTCTGAATTTGTCAGATTTCTTAATTAGCTTAATTAGCATTGCAAGTACAATGGCTTTACTTATAACTTTCTTACTAATAAAAATAAAATAAAAATATATTTTTTTTTAAACCTGGAAGCTCTAGAACTGATGTGTAATTTACCTTCTTAATATATTTCTTACAGCTGAAATTTTGGCAAGAAAATCAAGAGAATGAATTTAATCATACTCACTATTTAAAAGTAACACATTTCCTTTTAGTCGGTGTTTCAGAAAATGTTCACATAATGTATACATTACAAATGTTATTTCAAAGGTCCAACACTACATCATTGAACACTATTGCTTCCCAAGATAATTCATCACAAAAAATCAGCAAAAAAGAGTTGAGACATTTACAGGTGTCCTGTCTTTGTTCTTCTCATAGCATTCAGTGGAGTTGTACAGAATACCATGTTTTAATATGCATATGGAAGGCCAAGGTCTTCATTCATCTCTTGAGGATTAATGAAAATGTTTGGCCTCCAGTTGTGATAGTCTGAGGATTGTTACCTGCTGGAGAGTAAAGTAGCAATGATCTGTGCCGAGTTCTTACTTAGCAGAAGTCATAGTAGAGAGAGAGTTGCATCTCAGAACGTGTCGTTTTCTATACCTAAAGAGCAGCATTCCAGATACGGACTGATGAAACCAAATGAACTGATGTGCTTTTCATTCCTCTGGTAAATGGCAAACACCAGTGCAAAGCTCAAGGATCAAGTGAGGGTGAGAGTGAATTCCAGTCAGGAAGTTCTGGTGAGAGCCTCTGATGTTAGTCGGTCTTACTGAGAATGGCAGGTTCTTTCAGTCTTCTTCCTTTATTTCTGCTTTCTAAATCAAATGGGACATCAGTCAAGAAAAAATGGAGTAAAACTATTTGACTTAACGGCCTGTCTCTGAGCATTCAATTTAGTTGTTTCGTGCTGTCCTTTTCTTGTGAGCGTTGCTACTTCTGCGGTTCTGGCTGATGGTTTTCCTTTCTGTGTGCTGCTCTACACTTGGTGGCTGTTCTCTTCCCCAGAAATTGCTGCATTTCTATGTTGTCATGTGGATATAGTATATGAAGTACTGTAACGAATGGTACGATGAGGATGTAATAGAGTTATGCTATTTGTGTATATATAGTGATCTGTGAAATGAATTACTAATGAAGTGCAGTCTCATTTAAGCTTCATTACTGTTCCACCCAGAAAAGTCCTATGATGAATGAGCCTTTGTCGTTTCTGTCATAAACACTATTTTTCTGGGTGGTATAACTCCTCCTCCTCAAATCATACTGAGCTGAAACTTGTCATGCATATGTCAGTTTGAATAAGCATTTCTAGAAACCATTTGTTAAGAGAACTGAGGTTTCCTTTTCCTGTATATGTAAGTGTTAATTATAAATAAATAATATCTCTCTTAAACCCAGTTACTTGAATATGTTCAAAAAAAGTTTGGGGCCAAATTGGGAACTTCACAGGAGGTTTCTTCTGATTTTTTCTTTTGCTTCCAAGTTATTTGCAGAAGAGTCTTGGAAGCCCTTCATGGCTACATGAAGCAGGGAGCTTTGGGAAAGTTATGCCAGAATGGAAAGAGTGTAAGAACTATTGTACTGATGTTGGCTATCAGTTATCCACATTAAGAATTGATTTCAGTTTTTATATTACTTTAAATTTGATTTCAGTAGCAGTGAGTTCTGTGTATAATTCTTTCTATTCAAAATGCCTTTGAGAAAAATTCAGCATGTTGACAGCAAGGTTTCACCAAAGATTTTATTTGCTTTCATTTGGGTTCTGAGTGAAATAATATGAGGACATTGTTCACAGAAGCAGCCATGAGCAGAGTTTTCTGATTACTGGGCTGTTCCAAAATTTTGCATTGTTAGATACTGGAAACAACATGTCTGCAGGTATTTAGATCTTTGTCAACCTAAATAGTCTCAAGAGCTCAAAAACCTTAAAATTCAGTGATTCAGGAGCTTGTTGGGGGATTCATTATGAGACTTAGATGGCTGAGTTGTCAATAATAAAGCATGTAAGTGTAGCAAAGTCTTTGCATAAAGGATTTCAATTATAATAAATCCCAGCAAATAATTTTTCTATTCAACTCTAATTTGAACAATCTGCAAGTGAAAAACAGTGAAATTTTCATCAGACAAATAGTTCTATTATTAATAAATCAATATGATAATTTTATATAATAAACACCTTTCTGATCACCTCTCGGCAAACTTTGATCTTCAGAGTGGGAAGTTTATTTGTATCTAGATTGCTTTATTACATCAACAAGGTCTGTAAGTGCTTAACTAATTCTGGTCTTCCAGGATTTAACTCCCTATCCTTTATTTTCTCTGCTGGTAACACTGAGTTCTCCTGAGCTTCTTACAGTTAATACCTGTCCTACCCATTCACACAGGATGGGAATTTACTCCTGCAAAACAATCACCAGGGATCTCAAAGCCTCTTCCGATGTGTGTATTAATTTATAATGTCATACCAGACCAAACTTATTCATGAAGAGCATTTAAGACAATAGGAGTTACCCTACCAAAATTTCTATCTTGTCTTTAATTGTTTTATGAAACAAATTCGCTAATTTTTCTTTTCTTAATCATTCTACATCTTACAGATTGTGAAGGCATTTATTTAAATGCAGATCTCTAAATTTAACTGTTCTTTGAGAAAAGCCTCATACGTTGAAGTGCTCAAGGACAAGTTGGATTGGGCTTTGAGAAACCTGGGCTAGTGGAAGGTGTTGAAGGTCCTGTCCAACCCAAACTATTCTATGGTTCTACGAAGGACTTAGGCTGTGTAATATTGCCCAAATGCATTTGAGTTATTTCAGGTTTATAGTAAGCCAATCCACTAAAAAGAAAAACACAACTTACAAATCAAAAGATGTTAAAATGGGTCAAAACATACTGCAATCTTCTTGTTTCCAAATCAGTGAACTTCTAAATAATGACTGTCTCCTGGGTCAGTGCCATTATAGCATCTTGTTGTGTCACGTTCAGCTCAAGTTCAGTGTTTCTCTCTTCACCTGCTGAATATAAGTTGATGCTGTCACTTCCAAGTTGATTATGTCACCTTTCAGAGGTTCCTTCTCACTTTGCATTGAAAAAATGGACATCAATGTCAACTAGTAATTTTCTTTGTCTTATTTAAAATAGTTAGAAGTAATTAAAGGGAAAGTTATATATAGAATTCCTTTTCAAAACCTCTTTGCTTTTGAATAGGTTGAATCAGCGTAATATCATTCAAACAACAATAACACTGTACCCCAAAATGCTGCTACTTCCAAGCACATCAGTGAGTTCTGCAGAGAAGAGGAATAAATACTGTAGAAAAATGCATTCACTTGCAGAAGACGGGAGAAATCTGGTACATCCTATTCGGAAAACTGATGTTGTTTTTAGTCTTTATATTCAACAGAATCTAATGTATTTTTGCTGTGTATTAGATTTATATTAGAAGAGAGAAGTGAAGCTTTATTTTCACCATCTTTCTCTTTGCTTTCTTAACTTCATCAGTACATTAAGATGATATTTCCAGCATTTTCTTTCTGTTCAGAAATTAGTCCTTTGAGTATTTATTTCCTCCCAGCTTTGCTTTACATCTCTTCATGGAATTAAAAGGTAGTAGTAGCTCAGTTGCTACCATTTCATACATCAGCTGCCTTTTTCTTCTAATGCCACAACCTTTTAGCTGTCCTTTTCAATTCTCTATCATCAGAAAACTCACTAGCTTTCAAATATTTATTATTATGTTCCTGTACATGTCTGAGTTCTACAGTGAAATTGTTTTAGGGTTATAACAAAAGCACTCAGTTCAGAGGAGAATGTTGAGGGAGAGGGTGAAATGTTACTTACCTTCTGCACATTAGTGTATTTAAAAAGCTGTTAAATTGATACCCCTGTGTGTGTAGTAATTTAAGGTCATTTTCTGCCACATTTCTCTGTGACATTTTTTCTTTGGTTTTATTGGTTAATGTGGATAGTACAGTGTTATTGTAATCTGCTTTATTTGCACAACTTTGTAGGGTAGTTTTAATATAGCTCTCTTATGGACTAGATGGATGGAGAAACTTCAAAGCACACGCACTGCCTTTTCAGTAAGGTTCTAGGGCTCCAATTTCAGAGCTGTGCTAGAGAGCATCGCTGTTCAGAAAGTTACTTCCCCAGCTGTTTCCTCTGTCCTTACACTGCCTGTTAATTAATTTTCTTTTTTTTTTTTTTTTCCCCGAACACAGCTGTATGGATAAGTCTGCACATTTCACATTCATATATTAACAACAAACTTTACATGAAATGAAGGCTGAAGGATTTTAATTTAAAATCGCTGTTGGCTTTAGCTTACAGGAATATTCTTTTAGCCTCCCTAGTGCAGCCCAGCAGGGCTCACTGTAATTGCAGTCTGATGTGGCTGTTCTGATGGAGGCTGTAATGGCATGCTTGCTCTCTTGTTTGCAGTCATCCTCTCAGGTCCTCCTCAGTATCAGCACTTCTACGTACCTAGAAGTTCACATTTTTGATTCTCACGTTTGTTTGTTTTTTTCTGTAGGTTTGGTCACCGTATTTCAGAAGTGTAAACTGGAGCACTGTGGGTTTTTTTGCCATCCTGCATCCACGTTGTTGAAATTCTTTCATTTCTGCAAGCTCTTTTCACACTTGCAGAATTTCTCACCTTCACAAATACCTAGTGCAGCAGTGTCAGCAGTTACATTTGTCTGATACAGTGCTCAACTCAGAATAGCCACTTAGGGCCCAGCAGTGGTTCCATGCCAGCTCGAAGCTTAAGGTCCAG